ATTTTTTTTTTTTTTTTTTTTTTTTTAGAGAGAGTGAAATGGAGGGAGGAGGAGGAGGGAAAAGAGAGAGAGAAAGAGAGACATCAATGTGAGAGGAACACATCTATTGGTTGCCTCCTACACTCACCCTGACTGGGGCAGGGATCAAACCTGCAACCCAGGCATGTGCCCTTGACCAGGAATTGAACCCACAACCCTTCAGTGCACAGGCTAACACTCCAACCACTGAGCCACACCTGCCAGGCCAAACTGGGAGTTTCTTTATTCAGTAGGTGGCCCTCACTCCTCTGCACCATGTTCCTTCACATGACTTGCTCCTTCCATCCAGCACTTCTTGCCGTTGGTCTCACTCTGTCCCTCTTTTCTGTGTAAGTCCTTCCCTGTGGCTAGTAAAACAAATGTTGACTGTTGAGATGCAGGTTAGGCAGATTTGGTCTCAGCTTAAAAGATTTGTATTCAACACCGAGGCTAAAATGGACAGACTTAAAATACTTAATTTTCAGGATTGTGAATCAATTTACGAGTAATGAAAACTTAGAGGAGTAATGATTCATAGTTAAGGATAGATCTCAATAACAGAACTTTATGTATAAAATGTTATATTGGTTACATATACTCCAAAAATTAATCATACCCTAAGAAATATTATACGCTCTTCTGACATAAAGTTAGTAACTTTTCTAATCAAATTTTATTTTCTTTCAGATCCTATCACATAGGACAGTATGTACCTTCAGATCCTGAAGAAAAGGCGCAAAATGTTCAAGTAATGTTTCAAAATAATTTGTGAGGTAAGTGTGTGGTTCTTTATTTAGGTGTATGGCACTGGTGGCATACTATTGAAAAGGCCATACGGGCCGTACAGAAGGGTAATGGTGATAAGGAAATACTTCTCTCCACCTACTGTCATTGGTTTGGTTACCACCTGTCCCAGAAGGAGAGCGTACTTAGGGGTGGGGCGGGGCTCCAGGAAGTGACTGTTAAATTATTAGCAAGTATTGTAAGACGAGGTGAACGCTCAGTGTAAATGTGATGGAAAGTATTTGCTTGTACGACTGTCCCCGTAAATAATGGAGATGTGCAGTGTAGCTTTCAAGTTCTGGGAAACCGGGCTTTATTTTACATAAGGACAAGCAACTTAGGTTCAGGAGTGTAGACAAAATCCCATTAAATCGGCCGTAAAAGTCAGGAAATGATGATGTGACATCCGCTTGACCATCAGTCAATGCATAGTGCTTTCAGGTTTCTCCCCGAAATGGTCTTCAGGACCATCAAATCAATAGTGCTTTTGGTTTTTAGTGTAGAATAAGATTGCAGCCTTACCGTAACGAGTGTTACATTTTCGTTTTGTATCACACATCGCTGTACCATTGCCCTCATGCTCCCAGTATTTTTAGTTTAGTTCAATGTCTTCATTTCCTCCCCTCCCTTCCTGTTGCATTAATGAAGTGGATACAGTGACTCAGCGGACTGCTCGTGCGGTTTAGGACAGATAACCGAATGCATCAGCCTAACCTTGCCCTGGCCATTGGTTATGTTCTTGAAAATAAAGTTACTTCTGGGTATCAGGTTTTTTCCCCCTTTTGTCTTCTAGTGGATTTAACGAATTTGGCCCTAAAGCCTTATGCACCAGCATCCTAAACTGTACTTCTAGGAATGTCCTCCCGTGCCAGTGTCTGGTGACGTTGTGGTTACTCTTCCTGCCGGGGCATACCACCACGGGGCTCTGCAATCCTCGCCAGTTCCTCCACCGGAAGGTTAGGCTCAACTGGCTCGGCTGTTCAGCATGTGTGCCTCTAGAAGCCATTCAAGGTCCTGATTTCTGGGTGGAACTCAGACTGCGCAAATGTTGTGCTCTGACAAAAGGCTAGTCTATCTCTGGACATGTGACTGTACAGCTTCTTATCTTAATCCCCAGTAGGCAGGCATCAGTTCCTCATAGAAAGTGTTCCTCATGAGAAGTCACCAGAAAGCAGAGATTCAGGTCGGAGGAATTTTTCAGAGTAAGGTCTTGATGTACAGTTATGATTCATTAAGAAACTTTTATGGAAATTACTAGGAAACTATTTGCATCTGAGAGAGGTACCAGTTTCTTGTTGTTGATCTGCCTATAAACAGACATGCACTTGCCAACAGCACGTAGGCATGGACAGGGAGTACAGGGAGAGAAGACCCAGACCCTCCATGCAGGACCCAGTCAGGGAGGGAAGGCACAGAAGTTCTCATGATGGAAAGGGGTAAATGCACTGCAGGAGGAACTGAGGAGCAAGCCCTGAGGGTCCCAGGGAAGTGGAGAGCTTCTGGATGCTGTGTCGGCCCTCTGACAAAATCAGGCTTTACAGTGGTGTAGAGAGAACCAGTGTGCACCATCCTCTCCAGATACTCATGTCTGGTATTCACAGACCCTTTTCAAAGTGCTCCTCGGAGGAAGGAGAACTGTCTTTTCGGGATGATGTGCTTGGAAGAGAGAAACATTGGGCCCTACAGGGTGAATGGGATGCCATAGAGGGGATGGATTCGGCGGGGGTGTTTGAAGGGCAAGGTGGGCAGGCAAATCTGAATAATGGAGGTTCAGTAATGCTCCCTGAAAGAATGGCTGGCTAAGGTCTGCCCAAGTCTTATCTTTAGTTTCTTCTATTTCTCTTAAAAAAAATTTAAAGCTACAGTGGTACCTTGGTTTTCGAATGTACCCCGTTCCGGAAGCCCTTTCGAGTGCTGAAACATTCAAAAACTGGGGGATCAACAGCCTACAGCTAGTCCTCAGGATCTTGCCCTCAGCAGAAGCCGTGTGACATGTTCGACTTCCGAGGCATGTTCGAAAACCGAAGCATTTCTTTCCGGGTTTACAGCGCTCGTAAACCGAAATGCCTGTCAACGGAGATGTACCACTGTATTTTTGTCTGATCTAAGAGCAGGGTTATTTTACTGACCACAGGGAACAATTTTTATTTCTCTCTTGTACCAGTCAATGTTTTTATATTACGGGGGAATTTTGCAAAATATTTGCAGAATGAACTCTTCCTCTGCAAGTTCACTCATTTGTTAAATGTTTTCATAATTACTATGCTCCAGTTGCATTTAAGGAAAAAACAAACAAACAAACGAACCAGAGCGCCCCGGTTTGAAAGTGCTGCAGTCACTTGTAGCAGACGTGACTCCAAGAGCACTCCTGCTTGCCACTCCTGCTCGCCACATTGGGAGGGGCTCTTGCTCTGTGCTTGTCTGAAAGATGAGCAGTGCGCTGAGCTGAGAAAGCACTTGGGTCATTGGCTAAAAGGCTGTCAGTGTTTTTCTATCCCTTGTGTGGACGCTAAGGCCAGATGAACTCTGACTCTTTATTTCCCTTGTCTTTATTTGTCACGAGTATCACTACTGTTATATCAAACACCGATAAGAGAAGGTCATACGTTTAAAGCAGCAGTGAAACAAGTTGCTAGGAAAAGTGCAGGTTCCTCTTTCGTTTCTTTGGACCCTACGTGTTTTCAGGTGTCGGGGACAGTAGGAAATATAGGAAAGTTGTCAAAAGAATGAGTGAAGGAAACTTTAAAAAATTAAAATAGAGAGGAAGTATTCTAGAAACAGTAGAGAGTTGAAGAAGGTAGAGATAAAAATGGGAGCCTCCTCCAAAACATGAATGCTATTGTCAGAGTTAAAACAAGGGAGGAATGAAAGTAAATTGAGAATCACACTGAGAAAACCCAGGTGAGCATCATAAGCTCAATGCTTAGCTCAGTGTCTATGAGTGTAAATGAGTCGAGAAGTAGCCATGGGCTCGTCGCCCTCCCGTGCCGCGGTGTGCTGTCCGTGCGAGAGCCTAAGGCAGCCGTGCACCTCAGCACAGGCAGGTCGGTGCCCGGGGCTTGTTGGCGCGGACAGTGGATGGCCGCTGTGGTACAGGTCTCGTGGCCACTGTGGTTTGGGAACTTGGGTGCTGTGATTCTGCATCTGGCTTGTTCTTTTCATGATCTTTGTCCCCCTGTGGCTCTGGCCAGCCCTATGTGTGCGCCCAGGAGCCTCACAGCTCTGTGTCCCGTCCCCTCTAGGGTGCATCGGGGAAACATGCCGTCATCAGGACACCGGCTCCGTGATGTCGACCACCACCCTCTCCTCACTGAAAATGACAATTATGACTCTTCGTCGTCCTCTTCCTCCGAGGCGGACGTGGCAGACAGGGTCTGGTTCATCCATGACGGCTGCGGCATGGTCTGTGCCATCATGACGTGGCTTCTGGTCGTCTACGCGGACTTTGTGGTGACGTTTGTCATGCTGCTGCCTTCCAAAGACTTCTGGTACTCTGTGGTCAACGGAGTCATTTTTAACTGCTTAGCGGTGCTTGCCCTGTCGTCTCACCTGAGAACCATGCTCACCGACCCCGTGAGTACTCGCTGTTGGGCTGGATTTTTCTCTGTCTGGTCTAGTGTGACACCACAGACTGTGTGACGAAGGGCCTCTTGCTCCTGTAACCTCGGGTTTTTATTAATTCCTGGATATGGGCTCATAGCATTGTTCACTGGAGAATAGAAGTGATACCACAGTATATTAATGAAAAATATTCCCCTTGGGCTGTTTATTCAAATGAAGAGATTATACTAAATAATTTCTAAAATCCCTCCTACTTTAAATATTTTATTTCTCTAAGGAATGGACTGAAAGCTGAGAGATCGGGAATCTAGATTTCACCACTGTACTCATCTTTTCAGTTGCCTTTTAACCATAAGCAACTCATTTAACTTCTTCGGGCTGAAGGTTAGCTATTACTTCTAAGTTCTTTCTAGCTTTGCAGTTCTCTTCTTTTTAAGTCTCAGCTAAAATCTGAAGCCAACGTTTCATTATAGCTGGTAAAAGGCCAAGGTTCAGCCTGTCTGCAAAGCAGAGAGGGAGAACTTGCTAATTACCGGTTCCATGGGGTGCGGGGTGTGACCTTGGAGGAAGCAGTTGCTAAATAGAGATCAGGTTCCGTGCACAGTGAGAGAGCTGACACAGGTGTGTGAGAACAAGGGTGGCGTATTGGGCTTATCTTTGGAGCAGTTTTCCTGAGAGTAAAGATGGGCCAGATCTCGCAGTGAACTGCCTTTACTTCCTGATGTCTTGAAGGCCCCTGGACTCGGAACCTCCATGCTGGGTGTAAGGCTGCTAATCTGAGAGTTTGAGGCATCCTCTGGCTAGGCCAAGTGGTACAGATCCTTGCAGTTCAGCCAGGAGTCACCTCTAGACTGGATTCCAGGCTTACCCCGGAGCCTGGAGGTGGCACCCCGTGGGAGGGCAGCCTGCAGGCCAGTGGGGGAGGTTCCCCATCAGTGGAGCTGTGCTGCAGGTGTTAGTGGTCAGTGTGGGATTTAGTTTGAAAAGGGTTCTTTCCACAGCGTTGAAAGAGTGGTTTTAAGCCACTAGTACAGGGGCTCCCGATTTGTACATTCAAGTTCACTGGGCTCATGTCTGTTGGTAAGCTTTCTCTAAAAAGGTACCAAGAAGTTCATGTTTTGTTGTAAAACTTTCTTATAAATATGATTAGGCCTTTGTTTGCAAATAAACTGATATTAATCAGTTCATAGCCTGTGGTTGACATGTTGATTTTCTGACTTTGCTATGTCTAAGTTCATGTTGCAGGGTGTTACCCTATCTTATTTGCTGTCGCCTGTTTGCCTAGTGGAGATCTTGGGCCTAGGACAGTATTACAGCCCCAGCCAGGTGGGCAGCTGGGAGCAGCACTTAGGGGACAACTTGGAAGCTAAGTCTGCCCACGGTTTTGTAGCCTCACCTGATTGTGGGGTCTGTGACCATAACTGAATCTGCTGACCCTCTTCTCCTTTCCTTTACACAGCAAAGCCTCCTTCTGGGAACCAAACCTTACTCCTGACACCTGTGCATCTCCATCCCCTCTCCTTGTAGCACAAACACCACATGTCAGTACCCAGGCCAGGGAGAGGGTGGTTACAGAGCCAGGGGCCAGATTAACGATTTCTACTCAAATATTTATTGTAGGAAAAGCCCTGTTAGTGTCAACCATGTTCCTGGATGTTGAAAACTGGGTGGGCCCATTCTTTGTAGGCATTTTGGTGATGCGACCACCTCCATACAAAGGTTCCCAGTTGTGAGTGTGCATGGGGGTGCTGCAGGGGAAGGAGGGTTGACCAGGCAGACACTGCTTGTCAGAGTGTTTGTTTCCTCCACAAGTATAGATGTCCCCCTCTCCTCCTCTGGGAAAAAGCCTCAGAACTCTTGCTGGAAGCCCCAAGAACTGGGGGAGGTGAAAGTGGTAGAGAGAAAGAGTGTGCAGGATGCCGCCTCCATTCCTGGTGGGAGTGCGCATTTCACTGTTGCATCACTGGGGTGTTGAGTGGAAGCATTGAGAGGGAGGCAGACCAAGGAAGAGGAGGAGTTTGAGATCCTGGACGTCAGAGTTTTTCAGTCAAAATTCATACACTACAAAAACCCATCCTTTTAAAGTGTATAGTTCAGTGATTTTTAGTGCATTCACAGAATTGTGCAGCCATCGCTACAGTCAATTTTAGACATTTCACCATCCCGCCAATAAAATCCTGCACTCCTAGTCATCACTGCCAAGTCCCCCGACTTCCCCCAGCCCTAGGCAAGGCTAATCTACTTTTTATTTTTGCCTATTCTGGAATCACATAAATGTATAAGCATACAGTATGCCACCTTTTATGTCTGGCTTCCTTCACCCAGCATAAGGTTTTCAGGGGCCATCCATGTGGTAGCACCTATCAGTATCTCATCCCCTTGTATGGCTAAATAACAGTCCATTGTATGGACAGACCCCATTTTGTTTATTAGATGTTGTCACTTGATAGACATTTGGGTTGTTTCCACTTTGGGCTGTTACGGATATGGCTGCCATGAAAATGTACACGTTTCTGTGTGGGCCTATGTTTCATTTCTCTTGCATAGGGTGACTCTACATTTAACTTGCTGAGGAACCGCCAGACTGTTTTCCACAGCAGCTGCCCCATTTTACGTTTCCACCAGCAGTGCACGAGGTCCAGTTTCTCTGCACCCTCATATCATCGTTCACCTTTTAGCAAAGCCCCCCTAAGGGGTAGGAAGTGGTAGTTCACTGTGGTTTTGATGTGCGTCTCCCTAATGACTAGTGGTGCCGAGCATCTTTTCATGTGCTTCTTGGCCATTCCTATGTCTTTGGAGAACTGTCCGTTTAAGTCCTCTGTCCATTTGGATGTCCCTGTTTCAGCCATGCCACACCAGGACTCTGGTGGTGAGTTACAGAACCCACTGGGAGCCAGTGTAAATAAAACTGAGCAACCTAACTGCAAGAGCCCTGACCGGCTATGGAATTGGGATGTGGACACTGTTAGAGAGGTAGCTGGAGGGGTAAGATGGACAGGCCCTGCAGGCTTTCTCTGTCCCTTGGGTATCCTGTCTTGCTCAGCATCCTGAGGGTGGCCCCGCAGACCAGGTGGAATTGGACTTGTTCAGCCCAAAGTCACATCCCTGAAGGAGAGACTATGTGGCCCCGCAGGGTCAGGTGTCCACTGTTTGTCCTCTTGCCGGGGCGTTTGCCCCCTTTTCTCTGCAGAGCACAGCTTCACCACCCAGGGCCCAGTGTGGGCTCAGCCGAAACCATCACGCCCGCCCAGGGCGCAGCACATACCCCACTGGGACTTCATGTCTTTTTGCTACACTGATAGGACCTAGTCGGTCTTGGCTGGACTCGGCTTTGGTCTGTTATTTGAGGAAAGTCCTTGGTGCTCTGAATGAGCAGGAGGGAAGCTGTGGGGCCCGTGACGTGTGGTGGGGCAGAGATCTGCTAGTACGGCAACGAGCCCCACTACTGGAAGATGAGGCTCCCACCAGCCTTAGCGTTTGGAAACACCAAGAACTTAACGTTGTGAAGGGACACGAGTGAGTGAGTGAAAAGAGGCACCCACTACCCCTCACCCGGAGCCTGCTGTCCTGAATCCCCAGCCTTTTTTATGAACGTCAGCCTTCTCCACAGACACCTGCCGAGTGCCGGTGACGGACACCCTTTGAGGAGCGTGGTCCTGCTCCAGGTGCCCCGCCAGAGGGGTTCTTTCATTGACCCTCCAGCCCCTGGGAGAGGCGGAGGAAACCCACATCCAGAAGCGAGGTCCCCCTCCCCCACAGTCAGACACAAAGCTGGGGTCCGAAGATTTTTCTGTCTCCAAACCCCTGTTTCTTGTTAAATTCTAATAGACGTTTCAAACGTGCACAGAAGTAGAGAGAAAGGGTGTCATGAACCCCAGTTACCACCTCACGGCCAGTCTTGTCAGCCGTACCCTTACCTGAGTGTTTGAAAGTAAATCTCAGATACCATGAACCTTTATTTGTAAATATTTGTGTGTATCTTTAAAAAGTAAGGGCTCTTCTTTATAAAAGCATAGCCTCAGTGCCAGTAGCTCACATGGAGCAACTGAATAATTTCTTACTACCTATCCAGGTAAGTTCAGACGGCCTCAGTTGTCTCAGTTCTTTCACATTCATTGTTTAAGGATCCAAATAAGGTCTGTACTTTGCGATTGGTTGCCCTGCCTCTTACATCTCTTTTCATCTCTGTGGTTCCTTCTCTCTCTTTCCCTTGGGATTTTTTTTTTAAATCCTCATTTGAGGATATGTTTATTGATTTTAGAGAGAGGAAGGGGGAGAGAGAGAGAGAAAGAGCGAGAAACATTAATTGGTTGCCTCAAACCCGCAATCGTTTTGGTGAACAGGACTATACTCCAACCAACTGAGCCGCCGGGCCGGGGCTTTCCTTGGGATTTTTTTAACTTGAAGGATTATGATCTTTGTCTTGTAGCTTTCCTCCCACCCTGGAGTTTTCAGCTTACATTTGTGTGTGCTTTAGCATGCTCCTCTTCCCTTGTTTCCCATAAATGAGGAGGGAGATCTAGGGGAAAGCCCCATGTTTAACTCCCCCTTGCTTAGGTCCTGGAGATCCAGAAAGCATGACTGGGAATTGGGGGGTCAAGATGAAAAGACACGGGGGGGGGAGGAAATGTACCTTATGAAGCATAACTTCCCTGGGTGTATGGCATGGTTGAGAGCACTTTTCTAAGTGTGGGCTTCTGGTTTCCTTCCCTGTGGTGAATCAGAGGTGGGTGAGGGCAGGCTATGAGATGGGGTGCTAGAAGAGGCAGCAGGAAATCAAAAAGCAGTTAGGAGAACTTTGTGCCAAGGGGAGCTGTTGGGCTATTTGGGGTAGGAAGCAGCCCGAAGGCATGGCTGTGGTCTACATGGTTCTGTGAAGGACTCCTGGCCATCAGCGCTCTGCCTCTTGCCATCAGCTCACATTTTCCTAGCTGGTCTTCCCGTTGCTTCTCCATTGCCCATCTTTTCTCCAGCTCCCCTAGCACATGGGGGTACTATAACAACCCCTGACCCCATGCCCAGATGCTGAGTTGGGTCTGTTACTCAGGGCCACACTTTCCAGGTTTGAGTGTGTTGATTACGTTGGGTCACACACGTTTTACATATAAAAACACAAGATAAAGCCCTTTGTGAGACTGTTTTGTTCAGTGTTCCCTAAGGCAGCTGATAGGAAACTGTGGGCACCCATTAAAATGGGAGTGATAGGGAAATGGTGACCCTCAGCTGCCCTGGAGGTGGAGTGGCTTCACAAACAAACCTTGCTCTGGTGGAACTTGTATTAGCTAGAAAATATTCCTGTGACTTACCAGTTTAAGAAGGGTAATAGGGATTTATTTTGAGTTATTTTAATGCATGTTATTTTTCATGCAAAGTAAAACTTCTGGTTCTGAAATATTTTTCATACTAATGTGCTTTAAGTGGTAACTACAGCATTACTAATTATTTTATTATGATATATAAAATTTAAGACTTAATTCCTACACTTACTGATTGTTTTGAACCTTTCTTTCTCCCTAACTAAACATTCTTATTAAACTGTAGGGGGCAGTACCCAAAGGAAACGCTACTAAAGAATACATGGAGAGTTTGCAGCTGAAGCCTGGAGAAGTGATCTACAAGTGCCCAAAGTGCTGCTGTATCAAACCCGAGCGCGCCCACCACTGCAGGTACCACTGCCCCTTCCCTAGGACAGCCCGAGCGCCCACCACTGCAGGTACCGCTGCCCCTTCCCTAGGACAGCCCGAGCGCCCACCACTGCAGGTACCGCTGCCCCTTCCCTAGGACAGCCCGAGCGCCCACCACTGCAGGTACCGCTGCCCCTTCCCTAGGACGGCCCGAGTGCCCACCACTGCAGGTACCGCTGCCCCTTCCCCAAGGGCAGGGGGTCCCCCTCAGTAGCCTCTGACCAGCATTACAATTTTGTGTATTGGATGCATGGCCTGGGGTTGTGTTCCCTCAGAGCGTGGAATACTAGTAATTGGACCTCTCCTTTTTAGTATTTGCAAAAGATGTATTCGGAAAATGGATCATCACTGCCCATGGGTGAACAATTGTGTAGGAGAAAAGAATCAGAGATTTTTTGTGCTCTTCACTGTGAGTAGAAATATTTATGCAGTAACTTATATTTAGTTTTAAATTATTAAAATAGAATCTTGCCTGGAGCTGGTAAATTTATTCTAACATCAGACCAGTTTCCCTCCAACCTTTTCTCCAGATTCAAATTATAATTCTGTGCTATGGTTGGTAGGAAGTAGTCCAACAGATAAATATATGTTGCTTGTGTTGTTTTAGGTGTTTTACTGTCATTTAATTCTCTCAGATACTCAGTTCTTAATAGGATCTTGGTAGGTAGATGTCAACTACTGCAATTGATTCCTTCCCTCATTAATTTTACTGACGAATGAAATGAAGGAGTCAGCGTAAGATTAAGCAGCCTTTGCTCCTAGAAATCCGTAATTGCTCACCAGTTGTGACCAGTTTCTCCGTCGTTCCAGATGTACATAGCTCTGTCTTCAGTCCACGCTCTGATTCTCTGTGGACTCCAGTTCATTTCCTGTGTCCGAGGGCAGTGGACAGGTAAGCTTGTGTGTACTGTTCCTGGAAGTCATGCTGCTGGGTGATTTTCCAATTTTGAAAGAAATCTTCACAGTTATTTTTTGGTGTTTTTTTAAGAAAAGATTATGAATAAGTATTAATACTGCCTGTTTCCTAGTATAATGAAGCTGTATATATAATGGTTCTTCCTTAGTCAATTGATTCTCACTTGTAGTTTGCAGATACTGAGACTAGAAGGAGGTTAGTATTGTTTCCACCAAACCTGGTGTTTGTTGTCGGGGTAGCTAGCTAGGCATTGCTCAGTGCTCCTTGCAGGACTGAATATGAGTGTAGTGAAGGTGGGCATATAGTGAAGGTGTCCAGCCCTGGATCCATAAGCAGGTCAGAGTCCTGCCCCAGGGGTGGGGGAGGAACGGCTTGTGTGTGCCTCCTGTGTGTAGGTACATGTGCCTCTCTTCTCCAGCTGTACTGCATTTTAATAAGCACTTTAATACACAGATACAGTATTAATAGAAACCTCAGTAGTATGGAATCTTTGGAAACTGCACACTGGGAAGTGGTCGTGTGGATTTTTGCTCAGAGGGCCACCCTCCTCCACCCTTTGGTAAATAGTGAATGTGCCTCTTTACAGAATGAGCACATTCTTCCTGGAAGCCATCCTGGGGCTGCCACTGCGAGGGTCCTGGGAGCTAAACACCTGACATCCTGCGGTTTGGGGTATTTGTTATGCTGTGATGTCCAGTCACAACCCTCCTTCTCTTGTTTGCAGAATGCAGTGATTTTTCACCTCCGATCACTGTAATCCTGTTGATCTTCCTGTGCCTTGAGGGTCTCCTGTTTTTCACTTTCACTGCAGTTATGTTTGGCACACAAATCCACTCAATATGCAACGATGAAACGGTATGCTTCGTTCTCGGCTGTGTTTGCTTAATGTTTGGTGAGAGCTTGAGTAAATGGGAAATTCTAATGTCAACAGCAGGTTCATGTGTATTAACTCGGGAGATTAATTGGGCAGCCTCGATAAGCTCCGACAGGCTCGCTGTATTTGTTCTTCCTGTCTTTATGCGCAGTGCATATTTCAGGGATCGGTATGACCCGAGAGTCAACAGAGCCAGGCAGATTACCAGTTTCTAGGAGACCCAGCCCCTGGAGCAGCTGAGTGAGTTGCAGGAATTGGTTGCCTTCATGCCTCTGAACTGGAGGCCTAGAGCAGACACTTGATAAATACTTGTAGTAAATGAATTAAAGGCTGCCCCTGACCCAGATGACCAGCTCTCTCCTGCACCACTGTGGCTGCCTGGGCTGTCCTAGCTGGTGGCCACTGCTCGGCTGTCTGATATTGGTCTGGCCAGTGTGCTCAGGAGTCCATGGGGCTGGTGCAAGGAAGGAGAGCCCAAACTTTACCTGACCACCTCGTTCTCAAATGCTGTGGGGCAGCTTGGTGATGTTTCCCCCATTTTCACCACTTGGCCTAAGCTGGTTGTGTTGGGGGGGTTCCTGGCGCTGCCACCCAGTTGCTTTTCTTTCTGCTTCCAGGAGATTGAGAGACTGAAAAGTGAGAAGCCGACCTGGGAGCGGAGGCTACGATGGGAAGGGATGAAGTCTGTCTTTGGGGGGCCACCCTCACTCCTCTGGATGAATCCCTTCGTTGGCTTCCGATTTAGGCGACTGCAAATGAGACCCAGGAAAGGAGGCCCAGAGTTCTCCGTTTGAGGCCCCTCTTTTCATGCTGGAACTTGTTAATGGACTTTATTTATTTGGGGTCTGAAAGGGTATCAACGGCTCATCTGTGACCAATAGGGCAAATGGAACCTACACAAACCAGTTGCTTGCAGCAAGCAGAATTTTATATATTTACAGTCATGGATGGCCGATTTTCCAAACCAGTAACTGGACGATGCTCTCATCAGTTTTCACCTGTGCAACTAACGAAAGGGATGTGACCGCAAGAAAAAGCCAAATGTCATTATCTTCCTGCACAGTTAGGACTTTTGTTAAGAATACTTTGCATTTTCTAAGAAGTTGTGTGATTACATGGGTTTTTAAAACCCTGTGTACTGAGCTGCTTTTTTCAATCATGAAGGAAAAAAAGTCAATCCAGTGAACAAGAATTCTCCGAGGAGTGGTTCCAGGGAGTTCCTGCTGACCCCGTGACTCATTAGTGCACTCCCTTGACCCAGAAGGGGCGTTTACATAGAAGTGCATTTTGGTCTCCATTCGCTCTGACACTTTGCACTGCATTTGCAAAAGATCTGTGCACTGAGCAGCGAAGGCGGCTTCAGGCACATTCCCACTGCCCCGGGGGGGCCTTCTTTGACCCTGCAGCAAGTCTGTGCGTGTGTCTGTGTCTGTGTCTGTGTGTGTGCGCGCGCGTGCATGTGTGTTTTAAAATCGACAGTGTTGTGTAGGCGATGTAACATTTTAACAGCTGTGTGCAGCTAACAAGCTATTTTTTAGAAACCGACGTTTCAGGGAAGCGGGGAGAGCTGCCCCGGGATCCTCCTCCCGTGGGGTTCATTATGAATGTATTGCAAACTGGAGAATATCTTGATCCAAAGAACAATCATTCCTGTGTGGTCCTTTGTTGCCCACCTGTTTTCATTTTATCTTAAAAATCTTGAGTGCATGAGGGCCTTGGGACAGAATTTTTTTGTTCCAGCCAAATTAGCAGTGTGTCAACGGCACCTCAGTGAGAGAAGAGCCAAGTCTGGTGGCCACCTTCACCTTGTGCAGCTTGGTGGGTGTGGAGAGACACAGGTGTTGGCCTCTGGGCATCACTGAGAAGGTGAGGGGACCACAAGGCCACGAGCCCTGGGCTCTGTGTCCCTCCCTTGCAAAGAATATTCAGGATGGAACAGCCATTTTTTTTTTTTAAATCATTTTTGTTTCTCTACCGACATCACCAGTGATCAAATAGGACCCTTGGTGCAGAGCTTAAAATTATGCCAGAAAGCAAACAGCTCCCCTCCTTGGGGACTCGCCTTAAACTTGCCTGGTCTGGACATGTTTTGCAGAACTCACGGGGAAGCCATCTGTGACAGTTCGAGGGTCTCCTTTAAGCCTGCCTCCCCCGCTGAGAAGAGTTGGTGTTTCCCTCCTGGTCTCCACGCTTTTCTGTTCATCTGTGAACCGTTTTTGTTTTTGTTTTAATTAATCTGTACCCTATCCTAATCAGGGCTTCTACCACTGCTGATGCAAAACCACAAAGGGACCTACTCGAGACATAATCGTAGCCAGTGAACAAAGCTGTAGGATGTTTTAGAAATGGACTGTCACTGCAGAAATGTGTGAGCTGTTAAGGACAGACTGCGTCACAGTCAGGGAAGAGCCGCGTGGGCGAGCGAGGGGCGTTTCTGGAGACTTTTGCATATTCATTTGCACATCTGTTGTCTGGGTTGGACACGTGGATGGGCTTCAGTGTGAGCCTTTTAATATGTATATCCTGTTTATCAATAAAAGAAATGATCAAAGTGGTTGAATCCTGTGAGACTTGGCAAGTCTGTGCAAATCAAGTATACTTGACTTTTCAACCTCTTTCAATGTAACTTTTATATGAAATAAAGTCACTCGTTGACGATTCTCAAACAACTTACTACGTGGCACAGTTCTTGGTGGGTTGTCGGTGTGTTTTCAGTGGCTGGCTTTTCCTTGGCTTATTGACACCAGCACCCTGGGCTGTGACAGTCACCCCTTGACTGTTTCCACAGCCTCTGGAAACTTCAGTGCCCATGAAAAGGGGCAGGCGTTCAAGTGCTGTTCTGCTCACACAAACTTGGCCCTGTCCACATTTAATAGTTTACTCTTAAATTGACACACCTTTTATTTAGCTTTATCCTAAACATTCCTGTAATTTTTTTTAGTGCTCTTTGAAATAAAAATAATTTTTAAAAATTTCTTTCTTCAATCCAGAATCTCAGTTTCCTACAAATTTATCTAATATTTGTTCTTGAGGGACCCAAAGATGAGTGGAGAGGGTGACCGTGCCCTCTTACTGCCACATAGGGAAGATGGGCAGATCCACAAATGATCAGCCGTGTGCCCACAGGGATGACACACACACACACACACACACACACTCTTCCACGAGGCACTTGCTGGCCTTGCAGACGCGCAGAAACACAAAGGGTCCTGGACACGGAGACACATCCCTGAGCCTGGACACCAGGGCAGCAGCAGCTCTCGAGCCTATGTTTGTGGCTCTGCAGAATTCTGCTGCAATGTTATTTGTATTATATATGATTTTAGTTTGGCTGCCTACGCAGGGAAAATATCCTTAAGGAGAGCCTGGGAAAAGCAGGAACAGGGTTGCCCATAGAATCCACATTAATTCCAAAGTTGCATTCAGGTGCCTCAGTTAAAGGGTACGCTACCCGCAATAGTGACTGAGGATCACATGTAAAACCATGTTGCTCCTGACCCATCCAGCTGATAATTTTTTAAAATATGTTTTTATTGATTTCAGAGAGAGGAAGGAAGAGGCAGAGAGAGATTAAAAACATCAATGATGAGAGAGAATCATTGATCGGCTGCCTCCTGCACGCCCCCTACTGGGGATCGAGCCTGCAACCCGGGCCTGTGCCCTGACCTCGAATTGAACCTTGATCGATCGCCTAGATCTTAGGTCGATGCTCAACCTCTGAGCCAGGCCTGCTGGGCTCGGCTGATAATTTAAGCAAAGACAGCCCAGGGGCAGAAAGGGAAGATAAAGTGATACGTAGATCTGCGGCTGGTTCTGTTAGCAGAAAGCTGAGCCAGTGTCTGATCTGCGGGAGAGTGAATGGCTCGACTGCCTGGCCTGCTGGAAGACTCGAGAGAATTACTGAAGAAGGGTCTAAGCATAACACATTTTCAATCCAGAGTTCCTGACACCCCTGGATTCACTGCCTGCTCTCCCCACCCCCACTGACCTAGTATATTGACATTCCACGTTTTGTTCATTATAGTTTATACCATGATGACTAAATATTTTGTGCTAAACCAAGTAGGATCCTGTGATGTACAATTTTTCACTTCTCCCAAAGATAAAGTTGCCTCGCGCGTGCCCTGTATCACTCAGTCTTCCTCCACCCCCAGCAAGCCTGTGTGGTGGTGGGCTGGTTACTGCCTGGCCTCCCCAGCCCTCCGCCCCTGCTGCAGGCCGCCCCGGCTCCTCCAGGTGCTCTGCACAGCTCTCTCCCTGAGGCTCCTGGCTTCCTGGGTCTGCATCTTCCAGCTGCTTCTACTGGTGCAATACCTTCCCTAGTAGTTCCTTGAAAAGAGGTTATTTAAGATTTTCAAGATTTTAGCCTGTCCAAAAAATGCCTTTTTCTACCCTCACCTTCGGTTGACGGTTTAGCCAGACCATGGATTCTCTGTTCAGTAATTCTCATTCAGCATGTTGGCGACACCAAACTGTCATTGTCCACTCCCAGCGCAGCCACTGAGAGGATCCACGGCCTTCTGGTTCTTGTTTTATGTGACGTGAGCTAGCTTTTTTTTTTTTAATCTTAGGAAGACTTTAATAACCTCTTTTTAGTCCTAATTCCTCAAATTGAACAATGATCTGCCTTGGTGCCCTGTGATAATGGGTGGTGGCCCCTTTCTGTCTGAGACACGTGTTTTTTGGTCCTGGCAAGTGTGCCGTGTTACATCTTTGGGATCATAACGATGATGGCTGGGGCTCCATTGGACATTTCCAGTTTCCAAAGTGCCCTATGCCTGATCTGATCATGTCTCACTACAGCCCTACAGTAAGTCCCCACTTAACGTCGTCAATAGGTTCTTGGAAACTGCAACTTTCAGTGAAAAGACATAACAAAACCAATTTTACCATAGGCCAGTGGTTTTCAACCTCTGTGCTGGAAGAATTTTTAAAACATGCAATACCTGGCTATTTAGTCAGGGGCACTGACCTCTTTTCCCTGAGACTGTCAAATTAAAAAAATGACAACAGCCAACACAACAATAGCCACCTGGTATGACTGAATCAAAATTACACCTATTTTTTTAGTCAGATCAGCAAAATATATATTTTTTGATGTGCCACAGAACTTTAGTAATTAGGTTATGTGCCATGAGATGAAAAGGTTGAAAATTGCTGCCATAGGCTAATGGATATAAACAAGAGTTAAGCTTATGGCATATTTCTGGTCACAAAAACATCACCAAACTTCTAATAAGGACCCAAAACACTTCTAATATTAAAAATAGAAGTAAATGTGAACTAGACATACATGTAAGGAAGATGAGTGGAAACAAGTCAGACCATTCTCTGCCTGCCCACTTATTCCAGTTCAGGGGCCGGTGGCCGGAGCCTCCGCCCGCAGCTCAAGGCGCAGGGTGGGCCCCCACTCCGGACAGGATGCCCTTGCGTTACAGGGCACACACACCCCTCACTCACTCAGATGGCGACAATGTAGACACCCCGATTTAGCTCACAGGCGCATCTTTGGGGGCTGGGAGGAAACGGGAGTCCCTGGAGAAAACCCGCACAGACAAGGGGAGAATCCGCTCACTCCACACGACAGTGGCCGGGGCTGGGAACCAAGTTTTTCAGTGTTATAACCAAATAACACTGAACGGAAGGTCATTATTCGAGGACCTGCTCGAATAATGTACCCATTTTATAAACCAAAGGACTGAGGCCCATCGAGGTTACGTGAAGGGCCCAGCTTCCCACGGGCAGAGAAAGAGGAAGCATTCCACGTGGGGTTTCTGGCTAGACTAGAAGTACTTTTTCTAACCTAGCTCCTTCTGTTTCTATTTTTTTAATTACTGAGTTTAAAAGCAGGAAAAGTAATAATGAAAGCTCTTGAATAAATAAAGAAGTCAAAAACAGTAAAACAAATGAAAAAGCCTCACTGTGGTCATTTCAGTAACGTTTTCAGCTGGGGCGTGAAGCGTGGAGTGTATTGAAAGTGGCCTTCACCCTCATTTCCAGGCTGGCTGTGCTCCCTTGATGCGCGAGTCCCGCCTGGGAATTTCCCTGCCAGTTGTATAAAAGCACAGCTCACTTAGTTACAGGCCGTCTCACCCAGGCTTGTGCAAGTGCACACTGTCACGTTCACAACGACAAAACTGCCTAAGGACGCATGTCTCAGGACGTACCCCCATCATTAAGCTATTACATGGCTGTATGACCCATTTTATGACTCTAATGACAATGTTATTAATAATGACAATATTAATAATAATGTGAGGAGCTGGCTGACGTCCAACTCACCTAGTTATCCAGAAGCACCTCACAGAACTCCACGAGGGCCAATTTCTGTCACTTCACGGACTTGAGCATGCCACCAATGCTGGTCACACTTTTTGGTGGCTGGGTCCCGGGCAGCATGGGGCAAGGGGAAAATGCTGCAGGGAGAAGAGAAAGGGTTTGGCCCTCAGCCTGGCATCTGTGTAATGGCCACCAGAGGCCGCCACGAGACAGCAAATGCCCACGCTTGTTCAGCCACAGAACCAAATTCCTCTACTATTGACTCATCCAGCCAATAGCTCCACAAATATTTACTGAACACCTACTGTGTGCAGCGAGGCCTCTGCCCTCAGTAGACACGAATATAATAAATTACGTACTGTGATACATGCTATACGAGAATAGAGCAGCAGGAAGAGGGAACATCAAGGTGAACATCATGAATGAGGAGTCTGGGAAGAGGGGGAAAGAAAGAGGGAGGGAAGAGTTGTGCAAAGGCCCTGGGGCAGGGAAGGGCTGGGAGAGTGGCAGTATACCCACTGAGGGTGGTGAGGTTTCGTCTTTAACATCAACTTGGAATTGGAGCTAGTTAACACTGGAGAATGCTGGGGTGAGTTCATGACTCCGTCTACCAGGTTCAGAGGAGGTGCTGAGGGGTTAAAATGCACACACACACTAAGGGTCACTGACCGGGTGGGGCAGAGATTCCTCTGAAGTAGATTTCTTCTTAAAGAAAGGGCTAGCCATCTCCCCCAAAGACCAAAGATTGGTGACTTCAAAGGCATTTCCTTCTTGGGTGGGTTGTTAGGGTCCTCAGTTGAAACAGAGGCCAGTGGGAGAAGGGGTGACATCCGCTATGGAAAGCCACCCTGGCGAGTATAGGGTAGAGGTACCCTACACAGGAGGAGTCCGTGCATGGCTTTTCTCTGGCCTCAGCCTGGGTGAGACCCAGCCATCTGGGCACTGGGGGACAGCTGCTTACTGGGTGGCCTTGAAGGCTGTCTGGCAAGGGGATCTGCTCAGAAAGCCTGGTGACCAGGCGGCCTCGTGAGGGCTGCTCTGCAGGCAGTTTGGCTCTCAGTCTGAGTGGCCACGAGATACGGCTGAAAGAGCCAGACTGACGTGGCTACGATACCCCTGCTGTGTGACCTGGGTCAAGGGTCTTTACCTGCTGTGTCTCAGTTTGCTCATCTGTAAAATGACACAATAACAACTGCCTCATGCAGCCATTGGAAGGGTTCGAAAGAAAGAACAGTAAAGGACCGACCGGGAGGTCTGGCACATGTTAGGCACTCAAGAAACGGCAGTGACTATTATGATCTGGTCTGGCGAAGAGCTTTGCAGCCAAGGCAAGACCTCGAGCCAGACCCGACGTGCAGTGGGCAGTTGGATTCCTCATCCATCTTGTTTGCTCTG